AAAAAAAATTTGAAGTCTCTAGCTCTTATATCTTCTGAAATCGACGCGTTCATACATACGGACGGACGGACGGACGGACGGACGGACGGACGGACGGACGGACAGACAGACGGACAGGGCCAAATCGACTCAGCTCGTCGCTTTGTGGGGTCTGCCACGCCTCCTTCTGCCTGTTACATACTTTTAACAAAACCATTATACCCTGATTTCCCATTTTCAATGGGTTCAGGGTATAAAAAGTAAGAAAGCTCTAGTCGAGACTGCCCGACTAGGAAATTCCCTAAACTCTTCGAAGAATTTCACAACAATTCTTCGCATCTTTCGGCTTACACAAGAAACACATACACAGAAAGCCGTAGGGATGCAAGCATAAACACGCATTGATTGCAGTGTGTACTATGGAAACTTTAGGTGTGGGGGTAAATTACAACAAAAATCGAAATTCTATAAAATACCTCAAAGGGTGTATAATTAAAAAAACTAGTTTTAGACAAGGGGTTAAATTGATTGTTTGAGAAAAACTCGATATACGCGTGTATACAAGTACCTAGGAAAACTAATTTCAAGTCTCTAGCTCTTATATCTTCTGAAATCGACGCGCTCATACATACGGACGGACAGGGCTAAATCGACTCAGCTCGTCACCCTGATTAGGAATATATATACTTTGTGGGGTCTGCCACGCCTGTTACATACTTTTAACAAAACCATTATACCCTGAGTTCCCACTGAAAATGAGTTCTGCGTATAAAAATTGGGCTAGTTTATATTTAGCTCTTACCTCATTATCAGATTCATTCCCCGTGTTCTCCAGACTGTCTGACTCGTCATTCTTATCCGTATCATTGATATCGAATTCCGCATCTTGGAAGCGGGTGCGAGCGCTGTTAACGCCAGCATTTTCATCCCCGGAAAAAGTACGTAATGAACCTGGAGGGAGAGGGAATGACAGAGAGGCAAAGGGACAGAGACAGAGAGAAAGAGCGACAGAGAGAGAGAGAGAGATAAAGAGAGAGAGAGATGGAGAGTGATGCAATGAGCAGGGGAATAGGGCGACATTAATTGAGAGATTAAAATATGTTCACATACCCACTTCGCTATCCGAGTGAAGGTAACTGCCAGCGTAGTCGCTCGACGGTGAGCTCAAATTCAAATCCAGATCCTCACCAGGCTTCCGAAACATTTAAAAGCGTGGACGCCAAATATATGAAATTGTTGATAGGAGACTCGAAGCTATGCAATTTTCCTTGACACATGAATGGGCGGCATTCATGCACATAGTACATATGTGTGCAGTTGGATCGGCTGGAAAGCCGATTCCTCTCCAATCTAGTCAGAGGGCGACTTAGAGAAAATTCCCATTTTGTTTTTACTTCCGGCTAACTGAGCACATTTGTATATGGAAGCCTGACAGCCGACTCGTGACTTACTCCGACTACATTTGCGTTTCTGATTTTCGCAAATCCTTTGTAAGGGTTCCCCTTCGAGCTTTCGAGCTAGACGTAGCCGTAGGCACATTTGTGGAGCCCAAAATAATAGCCCTTGGCTGTGTAATCGAACTTGGGGAAACTCCCATTACAGGTAATTTATGAGTTTCGGACCTGTTTACCTTTCAGCTAATCTAAAAAAACACTTGGTTTATGACAAAGTTATTTAGCTTGTCAGGGGAGTGTGCAGCTTTCAAGTGCATGATCTATAAAGTCAGCAACTACACTTGGGATATTATTTGTAATATATCATCTCCCTATATGTATATGAATATACATATATGTAAGTATGTATATGTATCTAAGTCATAGGTCTAATCAGAGATTAGCTTTGTTTCTGTTTCACAACAAAGAAATATATTTATATTTTCTATTGCTAGCTTGAAATTCTCAAGACATTGCCTAACGATNATAATAAAGTAAATAATAAGTAACAAGAAATAAACAGCTACATAGAAAAAGCGTCAAATGAGAATTGAAAATAAACAGCGAGCAGATTGGTTTAGTTGAGGGGGGTGGGGGCAATAGGCACGAGAGCTACACACATACATTTGTACGTTTGTATGTATGTACGTTGCAGCGCCATTTAACTAACATTTCGCTCTCGCGCTCACTCTCGCTCTCTCACTCTCGCGCTCTTTTGTTAGTTTAGCTGCCTGCTTAGTGCAGCGCAGCGCAGTCGTCGTCGTTGTCGCCGTCAACGTCAGCGCATTGGCGGCGTCTACCTCATTCCTCTCAAGTTCAATGCTTACAACTGTTAAATATGAATTTACATATGTTTGCATCAGTGCTGCCAGCTGCTGAAGAAGTTGCATTGTGGGTAAAAATAAGCAAAGAGACCATAAAATGTTGGAATGACAGGCAAGATGACAAAATACACAAAATATGGGGAATATGTTTAGAAGTGTTTTTTTTTTTTTTTTTGCTAGCAAATAATAATTCCACACAATATGTTAGTTAACGCAGTTGAGCGCTTCGTTTGCCGACTTTTTTGCAATATGAGCTAAAATTATGCTAGAAATAGGCTAGATGGGATTAGCCACAAATAGGCTGAACTGGCAACACTGCTTCGCATATGTGTACTTATCTCAGCTTCTCCCCTTCCACGGCCGCAGCTTTAGCGCCGCAATCTCAGCTGAGCGACAAATGCGAAGCGCATTTGGTGCTTCGCGTAAGCCCAGCCAGCGAACGACGAAAAAGAGAAGGAATACTTAGCGTTAACTCGGCTATGACAACTTTTGAATACCCTTTTTGACAGATATCATTTATATACAGATACCGCTAATATATAAGTAAATAAATAAATAGATAAAAAAAACAAGTAAGAAAGCTCCAGTCGAGACDGCTCGACTASGAGATACCCTGAACCCTCCAAGCTGATATTCTAATCATTCTGCACTTCTTTTATGCACACATACATACACATGCATCCACACGCACGCATAAGCCTGCGCTCTGCTAACTGCGCAGTAAGCAGCGACTGCGCTTGGGCTGCGCTGCAGTGTGGGCAATANACATATATATAAACATATATTATCGGGAATTTGTGGTTGTTAAACTTGCCTATAACATCATACAAACTTCTGACTCAATCCATTCATAATGCGACTTTAATATTTATATGTAGATACATATGTATATGAGTTCCTGCAGTTAATAAATCGTCTAACCAATAACAACCCATAATTCAGTCATACAGCCATTTTTACGATATATGTACATATACATATGTATATACATATGTATAGATCGGAGTGCGTATGAAGTATTATATAGTTAATCGTAAATATGTCCCTGGTACAGTTATCCGCTTATCACCTATCACTTATCAATTATCAGCCATCAGCCATCAGCTATAAAGTCTAATCTATCGCTTATCGATTATCGCTTATCGCTTATCGGCGGAACGATTAAGCATATAAAACAATGTCGCTCTCAATTGCGCCAAGTCAGCTCTATCCATAGATTAGAGCATTGGAATAGACTTTTGCTTGGGAACAACCTTAGTCGCCCATCTTAGAGCTGCGAATATAGAAAAACAATTATACCTATTGAGCTGAATAGTATCAGTAATATCAGGAGTGATAAGATACTTTAAACTTATTTCAAATAGGGAATCAAGATTGATAGAGCTATTTAGTATTAATCGATAAGGCGAAATTACCAACTAAGTGAATTCTAATTAAATGGAGGTCAGTATATTGATTCAACTGGGAACTAATCTAACTCGCTCACACTACCAAAACAACTAAAATAATTTATATTTATTATCGACCTGCTTGAAATTTCAGTAGGTCAAGCTAATCCACCTGCAATACTTTCGTATTCTAGAATTAGACTTGTTGAAGCTGACAGTTTGTAGCCCCAAAGCGATAACCTCTAGGAGAAGAGAAAGATTAGACGAGCTTTGCATGAAGTCTATATACTCTCATTGCACTTTGTAATCGAGTATTGCATTGCAGAGCGCTGACTAGGCGGATAACTATGTACATATACTATACTAACTACTGAGATATATGTATGTTTGTATACAGACAGGTAGCTAGGCAGAGGTATGCAGCCAGGTGGTAATTGAAAAGTATCTTGTAGATACGCCTAAACTCTCGACACGTTACCTAACCAGACGCTGTGCAGATAAGAAATGAATTGGCAGAAATAAACAGAAGAAAGCAAACCGCTTAATTAATGTTTGTCAGATAAGGCGCTGATATCGAATGCTTCGCTCTATTGAAGTATTCGTATACAGCTGTATATATGGTCCATATATACAGCTATACTTTATGTAGATCGCTCGGATCAGTCACTCAATAAGGCGAAGGACGTGCGCACGCGTTCTCTGCTCGTAAATACTTCAGCTGCACCGATAAACCAATAAGACGATAAGCTGATAGCCTGATAAGCCGATATGCGCTTAGTTAACGGTTTACAGCGACAGCGACTGCGAGCTGGTGATTGCCAATGAATGACTTTGACTTCGCCTTCGACTCCGCTTACGCAGGACACACGAACGATCGCAGTCGGCGTCAAGCTCAATGGCGGAACGCAACTGCAGTGAAATCCAATCGGAGGTCATTCGCTACCGTTGGCTTTGACAGCTCAGGAATCGTGTGCAGTTGCAGTCGACGCATACGCAAGGAATTCATGCAGTCGCAGTCGCTGCCACCGTCATTGCTCGGCATCGAAGTTGCAAACGAAATCGAAGGGCACGTGCGCAGTCGCTATCGCATTCGCACTCTCGCTCGCGTTCGCAGTCTCAGTCGCTGTCACCGTCGCTGTCGCTGTCGCGACGCTGCTTCGAGTCTGAGTCGAATTCGAATTAGTTTGACGACGCTGATGCCGGTGCCGCTGCCGCTGCCGCTGCTGGCAGCGACGCCGACGGATTCTTGAGTTGACTTACGCGCTTCGGACATCATTCAGTCAGTCAGTTGAATGCCGTTGGCGGACTTGGACGCGAGTCGAGCAAGCGCGTTCCCATCGTTTTTTGTTTCCACTGCACGTTCTCACTGTTTAACTGAAATTTTAGTGTTGTCGTTTCTCTGTTAAATGTTTATGACGTGAGTGTTAGCTATTACGACTATAATCACGAATCGTGCAACACAGATATATTCATTGACTTTTTGTTTACATCTTGAATCCAATATAATTATTTGTCTTATTTATTTTTATTTTTATTTTTTTTTTTATTTTGTATTTTTATCACTTTCTGTGTGTTTTTATTTGTGCCTCTGAACTTTACGTGTGAATTAAAATAATAATAAAATTCAGAAAATATTGAAAGCTTATCTCGATTTTATATTTAAATTTTTAAGTGTTGTTTTGTTTTTTTGTGTTTTTTTTTTTTTTTTTTTCATGTAACTTTATGGAATCGTTTCTGATTTCTCTTCTCTCTTTTCGATTCCAAGTGTCGCGTAACGGATATAAAGTGATAACAACCCAACAGCGAGATGACGGAAAATGAAAATGGTAATTCTTTACTTATACTTTTTCTATTGTACATATATATATATACATACATAACGGATAAGAAGAGAAAATAATCCAAAGGTCCTATCAAAGGGTTCCCCTAAGTAGTGTAAACAAACTATATACTGCTGATTGCTGTAGGGCCTATCCGACGAGTAAATACATGAATAATACATTTTGAGAAACAGAAATATGTGTGTAACTCTTCACAATTAGCGGAAGTGTTATGTGGCAGGAAATGCAAGAAATCAGTGTATACATTGAGATTTTAAAAAATTTATAAACATACTAGATAAATCAAATAAATATATTTTAAATAGTGTATAAGTAACCTCTGCTTCATCGTTGGCTCTATCCGTATTGTTGTCAACTAAGACTTTTGGAGTATTACTCCAATAAATAACCCTTACACATGTCCACAGATAGCTCTTATCTCGCATAATTGGCGATTAGGCATTAGTTCTTCACCTCTTCAATTCTTCCAAGAATACCCGATAGAGGCGCGTGTACTAAATCTTAGTTGAGCCAATCTTATCGGGTCGATAAGCTTCTAAGTGTTCGCTCGTCACGGCAATCTGTAGCGCGGCTTCACTGTACTCATTGAGCGAATGCCATTATTTGTGCGTGAATATACGAGTATATACATCTGGATAAATATATAAATAAATATATATATATCAATCAATCAATCACGATTGACATTGAATTCACTCGTATTCTATTCTATTCTTGAGCTTGTAGCATTTATTTACATGATTGATGCTGATCTTGTCAATCATGATTGATGTTCTGCTTTTCAAGTATACACGAACCATCAATCGTAATCCCTTTTCTGTATTGCCATAGACAGTCAATCAATCAAGCTTCAAGCATGCTTGAAGCTGCATTCAACTTCAATGTATGGCTAATGCTAAGGCGCATTTGCATTTCCTAGTATGAGTAACGTATGGAAATTTGTTCATATAGAGCGTTTCATAATACATAGTATACTTCAGATAGACTGCGACTAGATTTAATTGGTTGCATGACTAATTGGCGGCAGCCCAAGTTGACTGRCTGACTGACTATGCATCTGGATGCTGTTCGAGTCGGGGGTATTGTTGTGGCGCACTACCTGTTGGTCGGTAATTGCGGTTTTTGGCACCAATAATCAAAAGAGAAGAAGGAGAGAAGATTGGAAAAGAGAAAGGAAAATTTAAGACCGAATTGAATAATAAGAAGAAGGAGGCAGAGAAATAAAAGAAAGAGTTAAAAGCAGATGGATACGAGTAGAAGGCGAAGAAGAAATTAAGAGAAAAAGTCGAAGTAAATAAAAGGAGAAGAAGATGAAGATGAAGAGAAGAAATAAAGGTATATCAAAAGAAAAAAGAATATAAAATAGCAGAAGAGAAGATACAAAGCAGAAGAGCAACAGAATAAGAGACAAGACGACATGAACAGATAAGAAGATATAAGAGAAATAAGAAGAAAAGGAAACAAAGAAGAGTGAAGAGACTCTTGCAACGAAATCAAGGCACATAAGAAACTAGAGAAACGCGGCCAAGGAGTGAGTTTGACTCGTGGGAAAATACGCGCCGCTACGAAGATATAGTGGAGCCAAGCAATAGAGCTATCGTAGGACCAATAAAATGTGGGCCATATTGAACAAAGGCTTATCAATGAGAAGTGAGCTTAATCGCTTGTAAATCAGTTTGGCGCTGTTCACAAAACAAACGCTATTCTGTAGCTGATAGTGCGAAGGCAGCTATAAAAATGATAAGCCGAATCGAATCTATATGGAGCTGTTCCCACAATTTACGACTCGCAACTTGCGACCCGCGACCCGCGACCAGTGACTCGCGACTTTATCAAGTGGTAATCACATGGCGTTCCCTGTTACACATGTACATCCGAATCGTATTACCTGCCACTCGTACACGTTCGCCCATTTCCCCTTATCTCACTACCAAGAAATGCTCATGACTAAGCTCAATAGATTTTCCAATTAAATTCAAGGAGCAAGTATGAGAACACTCTCACAGGTGGATACTGTCAAGTTTTCTTTCATGTATTGATAACGAAGAAATATATATAATGTAGAGGGACAGAGATAGAGAGAGAGAGAGGGAGTGAGATAGAGAGAGAGAGAAAGAGAGACGAGTAAAAACTCTCACATTGAGCAATCAGAAAATCTGTTGGAATGAATAAATGAAGCTATAAATATATCAACCCAAGCTATGAATCAAGAGTTTTTAATCAACTCTAAAGATCTCAAGAGCAAACTGAGTGTAAATAAGATGTTAGCATGGCAATGATTGACTACAAGATACCCTGAATGAATGTATTATCATAATATAGACAACCAACGGCCAAGGCTCTATGACTTGGCAAATATATGTATGTCTAAGGCAACCAGGGGGAGAGAGAAGGAGAGAGAGAAATCATGAGTGAGTCACTGCATGAGAATGCCACGCAATCAGAGCTATCGGCAAGCGATATTTATCGATAATTGAGCCATTGAATGAACGACAGACGACATTGAACAATTTGCACAAATTTGTTTTGCTAGTTCCCATCGTCTCGACTCGGTTCGAATCAAATCAAATCGAAACTTCAAATAGCCACCGCCAAGCGATACCTGACTTTGATAAGCGTTACGATACGAGGGACGACAAAACAGTGGGCGGAACGCCAACGAAAATAGAAATTAGGAGCAAGCCACGTCGAGTACAAGGCAATTCATGCATTTGATATGAGCGAATTCCTCGACTTGTGCGAATTATACGGTCGGAATGTCCGTCATAAATGTTTATCAAAATGTTTATCATGCGATTAACGAATGATCGACTAAACGCTTTCTGCTTTATTGAATGGGAGCTGAGACTACCTGACTTCCAGCTGATAGCACATGTCAAGTCCAGCATTGCTTTTTGAATGGGCAGTCTATTGCCTCGACTCCCCCCTCCCCGACACTGAGCGCCTCGAAGACTAAACGCGCAGCTGACAGATGTGGAGCCCACATAGCAATAATTGCTTTGTAACAGTGTTTTATTCATAGGGTCTCAACGATTCCTTCTCCGACAGCTAAGCACCCGGTCTAAATGAGAGGCCAGCGAGCAGTAGATTAAGACTTCAGCTGCTGTGCATAGCTCCTTGCTTACGAGTCCCGCATACTCCCAGAGAGGGAATCAGCTCGTCGACCCTTGGCGATCCTGCTTCACTTGACTAACAGCTGAGAGCTGTGCAATTCGTCAGCTGACAGCTAATGCATCTTAGCATTAGGATTTGGTTCCATTCAACTCTTCGCAATCGCATTCATAGGCATATCCATTTACGATGTTTGACAAGCGGACAGCTGAGACTAGCGGGCGCATTATCTGTATGGCCTGGAGCACGTATTTGGATTCCCCTTTGGCGATAAATGACGCTCTGTTTGGCTAATGCTTGAAAATTTATGCCCTGTGTCTGATTCCATATTTCATTTGACTTTGAAACGATAAAGTGTGCCTGATCTGTGCCATAGGAGCTTTGCTACTGTCAGTCGCGATGGCATCGCCGCCAGAGATAGTACCGCTTCTTGGTGACATTCCATTGACTTTTTCAGTAGACTGCCCGACTGAGCTGATTTCCTTTCTCCCCCTTTTCCTTTGCAGATATCAAGCCCGCTGAGGCAGGCGCTGTCGAGAATACATCCTTCACAGCGGAGTCGAAAGCCGAATCAGTCCAAGAGTCTCCAGCCCCCACTGCTGCGGCAAGCGTAGAGCCAGCGAGCAATGGCAAGTCTCTGGCAGAGCTAGACCGGAAGACGAATGCCATCGAACCAGAGCCCAGCAATAACTTCAAAACTGTTGCCGAGGCGGAGGGCCAGCAGAAGGTAAGCACAGGCAAAGACCGGAAGCTTTTCGTCCGATTTTAATCCGATCCTTTTGACACTTTACAGAAATTACCCTATCCCAAGGCCGTATTCTTTATCATCAGCAATGAGTTCTGCGAGCGCTTCAACTATTATGGCATGCGCAGTAAGTAGTGAACGAAACTCGTATCTTCCGTATCCCACGAATCTATCAAAAATGTTCGTGATTTCTTTACGAGACTTCTTGGATAAATCCCGCTAATCCTTGTTCTTCTTATTTCACCATCCGTAGCTGTCCTGGTCCTCTATTTGAGTAGACAGCTGGGCTACTCAGACGACACGGCGACTGTGGTGTTCCACGTGTTCACAATGTTCGTCTACTTCCTGTGCATATTCGGTGCTATCATTTCGGACTCATGGCTAGGCAAATTCAAGACAATTTTGTACCTGTCGCTGGTTTATATTTGTGGATCGGTGCTGTTGACCCTGGGCGCCATTGGACCTTTGAGCCTGCCGGTGGAAACGTTTACGATATTGGGCCTAGCCCTGATAGCGCTTGGATCGGGGGGCATAAAGCCGTGTGTCTCGGCCTTTGGCGGCGATCAGTTCAAGGTGCCGGAGCAACTGAAGCAAATCACTTCGTTCTTCTCGCTCTTCTACTTCTCCATCAATGCGGGCTCGCTCATCTCGACGACCGTCACGCCCATATTGCGAGAGGATGTGCACTGTTTCGATGACATCAATTGCTATCCATTGGCCTTCGGAGTGCCCGCCATCCTAATGATCATATCGGTGGTCGTCTTTGTCCTCGGCCGTCCACTCTACAAGATTAAGCCGCCAGCTGGCAATATGGTGGTTCTGGTGAGCAGCACGATCTGGACAGCAATCACAACGAAGTGCAAGGAGAAGAAGACAAATCCGCGCGAGCATTGGCTGGATTATGCGGACAAGAAGTACGATCGCAGAATGATCGAGGACGTCAAGGTGCTCATGCGTGTGCTCTTCCTCTATCTGCCGCTGCCTGTCTTCTGGGCACTGTTCGATCAGCAGGGCTCGCGCTGGACCTTCCAGGCGACGCGCATGGATGGCGACATGGGCTCCTGGGACTTGAAGCCGGATCAATTGCAAGTGCTCAACCCGTTGCTCATCCTTATCTTCATTCCCCTATACGATGTCGCCTTCTACCCGGCCTTGCGTCTGATTGGCATACGTCGTCCATTGCAAAAGCTTACCATGGGCGGAATCCTAGCTGGCATTGCCTTTATCATTTCTGGCATTGTCGAGCTCAATCTGGAGGTAAGTTTCCCTCTACCACACTGATAGTTGTTGCACCCACCTTACTCTATTCACAACTCTCTCTTTCTCCCTCTCCCTCTCTTGGTGTCTCTCTGTCCGTCTCTATTGTGCTCTCGTTCTCTTTGTTCTGTTTTGTCCACGTAGAAAACCTATCCCCAATTACCTTACGGCCAGAATGTGCAGCTGCGCATCTTCAATCCAGAGAGCTGCGCTTACACATTCAAAACGAACCTTGATTCCCTGGACTCCTGGAAGTTGGAGCCATATAGCATGCAGGTGGAGAAGCACATCTATGTGAAAGACAAAGTTGAGCTAAAATATGAGATCATCGGCACGGATCCCGCTTGTCCAGAGTACAAGGCTGGCACGCAGGTGCTCACGGAAAACGCTGCCTGGTCGCTGTTCCTCAATGCGCGCAATGAGACGGTACCCGGCTCAGACTCTTTCTGGCTGAAGGATTACGTCAACAAGCCCTCGGACAGCTACCCCCTGGTCCGTACTCTCGCCAAGGTGCAACAGCAGCGACGCATCGTGTGGAAGAGCAACAAGGAGCAGTACGAGTACAATGCGAATGAGACGAACCTGGTGCGAGTCGCCTCTGGCGACTACGCCGTCTCCATTGACAACAAGCTAGTCGGCCAGTTCAGCGTCCACACAGGCGGCGTTTACACTCTGCTCATCAATGAAGTCAATGACGACTATGCCCACAGGCTGGTTGAGGTCACGGAGCCCAACTCAATGAACATACTCTGGCTGATACCGCAATACGTGGTCATGACCCTGGGCGAGGTCATGTTCTCTGTGACAGGGCTGGAGTTCTCCTATGCCCAGGCGCCGCCCAGCATGAAGTCTGTGCTGCAGGCCTGCTGGCTGCTGACCGTGGCCTTCGGCAACGTCATCGTCGTGATCATCGCCGAGGCGGCGCTCTTTGAATCGCAGGCCAGCGAGTTCTTCCTGTTCGCCGGTCTCATGTTCGCCGACATGCTGCTCTTCATGTTCATGGCCTACAACTACAAGCCAAATGATCCTAACAAGAGCGAGGAGGTCGAGCCCTTGACCAACGGCGAGGGTCGCGATATACCACCCCTCGACATGGGCATCGATAACAAGGCCCAAAGCATTAATGAGTAGAGCCCCCCGCTTCCCTTGTTGTGTATAATAGAAAGCTCTACCCTTAATGCCTCCCCATCCCCCATTCCTCACCCCACTCCCTTCCAATTGGAATTTCTATAAGTTTATACAGATATATATTTTTAATTTGTGTCCCTTACAATGTAAGTGTGAAGCTCGACGGTTTTAGGGGTCGTCGAGCGKTTGTTGAATATGAAAAGACATAGTACGCTTTAAATTAAACTAATCTAATTAAATAAATACGAAATTATAATCATACCTGTGTGCTCGTCTCTTTATCTCTCTTTCTCTTGAGAGGGAGGTTTGATTTGTCTTGCTTCTTATCTTCTCGTCGCCTTCACCTCTGCCTCTACTCCCTTCCTTCTTCCATCGCTCCTAGATCCTAAGCCTCTTTCCTTTCCCTATCTGCACTGGCACTGTAGGCAATTCGATGTGATTTGAAGCCATCTTCTTGGAACAGTTTCTTTAACGCCCGATGAACAAAGTAAGTCACAGTCTAGGTTTATCAATCTATCTTCGAGAAGATCCATCGATAGATAAGTTTGTTCCTTGTGCTTAAGGTAAGTTCAAGTCTTGAAAAGATTGGAACCTCTAGATCTACAGAGCGACACAACAAGAGGTGCTTGAGGTGCTTTCCAGGCGCCTTCAATTCATAGAGGCTAACTCTATGTAAAAAGAAGTCCAAATAAGACCCTTCCTAGGTCTGGTCTTGGTGTCGCCCACACTGTAGACAGCTCGATCTTTACAGCGCACATATCCGACTCTACCGGATGCTGGCACCACGCAGCTGCGCATTCTGAGCGGCATACCCGACTGCGATTACAGGGTGCGCAGTAACCTGCCAGGTGAACAGGACACTGTAACGCTGTATGGCATCGATTTCTACTCGAGCGGAAGCCTGGCCACAAGCAATGGAAGCTTCACGCTGGTCTACACCATTGACCGACTAACGAAAGGTGAGTGGGAGGAGGCGTGAATGCCCAGAGGGCGGTGCAGGAGTAACCCCCTTGCATTGCAGGCTGCCCAGATGTGGAGGGTGGCACGCAGCTTCTCGTGGAGGCAACGGCTCATACCCTGTTCCTGCGCTCCGAGCATATGGTATCGAAGCTCTGGTACGTGGATGACCTGCAGAAGTCGAACAAGTCGAAAGCTCTAGTCCGCACCTTGGCCAATATGGCAGCAGGCAAACGAATCGTTTGGCAGGAGGTGCGCAGCGGGAACACGGCTCTGGAGCTGCAGGCGCGCAACTACGATCTGCACGAGCTGAACACCATCGAGTACCAGGTGTTCATAGGTCAGCAGCTGATTCATCAGCAGATGCTGCGTCCTGGCGGTGTCTATGCGTTCGTCATTGGCCCGGCTAGCAATGAAGATCACTCCTCGCACATGTTCGAGCTAACTGAGCCCAATTCCATGAGCATGCTCTGGCTGATACCGCAATATGTGGTCATGAGCTTGGGCGAGGTCATGTTCTCTGTGACAGGTCTCGAGTTCTCCTACTCCCAGGCGCCACCGAGTCTCAAGTCCCTGCTGCAGGCCTGTTGGCTGCTGACCGTGGCCTTTGGCAATGTCATCGTCGTGATCATCGCCGAGCTCAAGTTCTTTAAATCGCAGGCCAACGAGTTCTTCCTTTTCGCCGGCCTCATGTTTCTCGATATGCTGATTTTCATGTGGTTCGCCTTCTACTACGTTAGCTACGACGAGGTCGCAGCAATGCACCAGAGGAAACTGATCAAAAAGAGACATTAAAGCATTGAAATATTGTAATGTGCACAAATATCAATTATTGTATTACTAAATGTTGTCGGAATAAATGTTGCGATTCGAAAAAGCATTTCCACGCGCGCCTAATTAATCAACTTTTAGTGTGACCATAGCTTCCAATCCTCCAAAAAACATAATCATATGCAATTAAAATACTGTATTAAAAAAATACAACAAAAATAATTATTATTAAGGGCATCTGAAAAATCACAATCAATTTTATATAATCTGTCATTTCATATGCAGTGAAATTTGAATTTACCGCCAGCTTAGTGTGCCCATATCTTACTAATGAGGAAATCAATGGACAACATTTAAAAAAGTCGCTAAACAACGCATAAGCTAACTTAATAAAATATTCAAAAAGGTGTAAGAAATATATTCTACTTTTATAAATGAATTCTGCTGTAACCAGGGCTGGTCGAGAGACATGCACACTGACTATTTTTGCTGGCGTTGCCAATAGTCGTTACCAGTAAGTTGGCAGCCCCGCCTAATCATTTGACATAAGGCATATTTAGTGCGTTTTCGCCGTTGTCTAATGAAAAAAATACGAACAAGAAGAAGAACAGTCTGCTGCAATCATATGACTTGTCGATCGATAGAGAAAAATAAAGGTTGAATATTCGTCGTGCTCTGCTACGTGTTGGTTTAAAAAAGCGTTTGCAACAGTTTTAACAAACACTTACCAGCCCCAAAACAGCCGAACGGAGTGCATCCACCCAGCCAAGCCAAACCAAGTGAATTCCAGCGAATTTCCAATCTCATCTCTGTCTCTGTCGCTCTCGCTCGTTCTTCCATCCCCATTTTTTGTGCATTATGGACAGCTCGGGATTCATGTTCAACGTAGACAATGGCTACCTGGAGGGCCTCTGTCGCGGCTTCAAGTGCGGCATACTCAAGCAGGCCGACTATCTCAACCTGGTCCAATGCGAGACGCTGGAAGGTGAGTGTAACAACTTCAATTTAATGGCCTCCATTTCCAATACGCCCGCCCCAGTCACATGACGAGCTATCAGTCACACATACGTACGCACACATGCATATGCGTGTTTGTGTATTTGCGTATAAGCTTGCCTTGTGATTTGTTGTCATAATACCCTGTAAGTTAATCATGCCAGCAGCATATTAGCTATGCGAAATAGATTATGCACAATTGTGAAATGTAAATGTGAAATGTGAGTATAGATAGATCAGCTTCACATGTACATTTTGTATACTATACATTAATTCATTTATTTCAATCACAATCGCTTGTACCTACAGTTTGAGAGTCACGCGCTTGTGCTACCTGTTGACTAATTGAGCAGAGAGAAAAGAGAGAGAGTTAGTGAAGAGAAGAAGAACAGTTTTGTGCTGACTGAAGCCAATAATTTTTACATCAGCTATTGCTATTGATTTCTTATCGGAGTTGTAGAGTCGTTGATTGAGTCTATTTCTCTCTCTCTCTCTCTGTCTTGGTCTCTCAACCCTCATTTCCGTAATACTGCTCCTCGAAAGAATCGTCAAGTACGTCTCAAGGTGCTAATCTTCAGTTTATAGTTTGGGAATGTTCCCTTTTTTGACCAGCATAGCTGGAGACTCGCAAGAGTTTACCACATGTGATTTAGTGTTCAGGCACCCGATCCCTTGAGCGCGAGCAGCAAACCTCACTATTTGCATATCTCTCCTTTTTACAGATCTAAAGCTGCATCTGCAGGGCACGGACTATGGCAGCTTCTTGGCCAATGAGCCGTCGCCGCTTTCGGTGTCGGTGATCGACGACAAGCTGCGCGAGAAGCTGGTCATTGAGTTCCAGCATATGCGCAACCATGCTGTGGAGCCGCTGTCGAACTTCCTCGACTTCATCACGTATGGCTATATGATTGACAACATCATATTGTTGATCACGGGCACACTCCATCAGCGCCCCATCTCGGAGCTGATACCCAAGTGTCATCCGTTGGGTAGCTTCGAGCAGATGGAGGCCATCCACGTGGCCTCAACGCCCGCCGAGCTCTACAATGCGGTTCTGGTGGACACGCCTTTGGCCCCGTTCTTTGTCGACTGCATTTCGGAACAGGATCTGGATGAGATGAACATTGAGATCATTCGTAATACCCTGTACAAGGCATATCTGGAGGCATTCTACAACTTCTGCAAGAACATGGGCGGCTCCACGGCCGATGTTATGTGCGAGATCCTAGCGGTAAGCCTGCATATCCATCTCCACCTTCCTCTTTATATATGTCTTTGTCTGTTATTTTTAGTTCGAGGCCGATCGTCGTGCCATCATCATTACGATCAACTCCTTCGGCACGGAACTTTCGAAGGACGATCGGGCCAAGCTCTATCCCAACTGTGGCAAGATGTATCCCGATGGCCTTGCCGCCCTCGCCAGGGCCGACGACTATGAGCAGGTGAAAACTGTCGCCGAGTATTACGCGGAGTATGCAGCTCTATTCGATGGCTCCGGCAACAATCCCGGAGACAAGACGCTCGAGGATAAGTTCTTCGAGCACGAGGTCAAGCTGAATGTGTTCGCGTTCTTGCAACAGTTCCACTTTGGTGTCTTCTACGCGTATCTGAAGCTCAAGGAGCAGGAGTGCCGCAATATCGTCTGGATCGCCGAGTGCGTTGCCCAGAAGCATCGCGCCAAGATCGACAACTATATACCCATATTCTAAGCCGATCTAAACAACTGAAACAAAAACAAAACAAAACA